CTTAATTCCCCTGCATTTACAGATTCTGGAATGGATTGAAGGCAAAGAGAGAAATATCAGAGCACTTCTCTCCACGATGCACACTGTGCTGTGGGCTGGGGAGACCAAGTGGAAGCCAGTCAGCATGGCAGACCTGGTAACGCCAGAGCAGGTGAAGAAGGTGTACAGGCGAGCTGTGCTGGTGGTGCATCCAGACAAAGTGAGCATAACCTACCCTATTGTATTGCCTGTTTGCTCCTTATTTCATTAATTTATAAACATGTATTAAAACAGCATACCTTCTTTTTTAAAAAATATTCCTTTTATTAATTTCAGAGAGAGGAAGGGAGAGCTGAGAGAGAGAAACATCAATGATGAGAGAGAATCATTGACCGGCTGCCTCCTGCACACCCCACACTGGAGACCGAGCCCATAACCTGGGTATATGCCCTGACTGGAATTGAACCATGACCTCCTTCCTGGTTCATGGGTCGATGCACAACCACTGAGCCACACCAGCTGGGCAAAACTACAGACTTTCAATTTTCTGGTTATTAGGCCATTTATATGATAAAATAAAGTTCATGGGCTAAAATCCAGTATTTAAAAAAACTTTATAAAGTGGATAAAAAAATCAAACTACATATTACAAATAATGGAATGGGGGCTTTCCTTACAGAGGCATATCACCAGTGACTAAAGTTTAGGATCTCCAAGAACTGAGCTATTTTAAGAAATGGGAAATGGGAGTTTAGAAATACAATCAATTGGAGATAGACTGTCATAATCCTTTGTCATTTGGTAGATAATTCTGGAAAACTTCTGGAGAATAGAGAATAATCTTTTGCTGCCCAATAAGTTCTCTGTTATCTACTCATTGACCTACCATATGTGAATTTCTAGGGAGAAGGCATTCTGTGGAGGTCATAGTAATGAGGGGCACATAGATTGGGCTGTAAGAGGAGAAATGGCTTCATAGAAAAACATTTCAATAGCATAGAGCCCACATATTAGCAGTGAAAATTTAATATAAATAAAATTCTGGTCTGTTGTATCTAATGTGTGTTTTGTTTATTCTATAGGCTACTGGGCAACCCTATGAACAATATGCAAAGATGATTTTCATGGAGCTCAATGATGCCTGGTCTGAATTTGAAAATCAAGGCCCAAAGCCCTTGTATTAATTTATGAGCTTTTCCATCTCTGCTGCAGACCTGTGCTAATGCTTAGTGTATGTCAGTTCTGAGGTTTTCAAAGATGAACCAAAAACTCCAGTAACATGTATCCAGTACTAAACTGTTAAATTACTCGTGAATTACTTCCTCATTGATAAGGAATGTGGATGTTTGTTTTCTCAAGTCCTCACCATAAAAGGTCCAAAGCAGGAGAGGACTTTTTAGTCAGCTGACCTTGCAGAGTTACAACATTCCAGCCTGCCCTTTGAGGAACCTACTCAGCATATTGTGGGGAAACGGAAAACAGAGGCCACCAGAAGCATAACACCCATCTCATTGTCTGGGAATAGGATTAATGAGCAGAAGTCATGATAACAGGATTACATGAAGGATTTTAACTAATGGTTTTTAGATTTTCTTGGAAAGATATTATTTGTGCAACGGCTTTAGACTCCAGGAATACAACCACCGAGTTTTTTGTTTTTGTTTTTTTTTAACGGACATTGACTATGGTCTTTAACATAACACTGTATACTTTGGGTCAAGAGGACTAACAGATGCAAGTGAACTTGAATTGTGGGAAGTGATTATACTACAATCCAGTGATGACCACAAACTCTTAAAATTAGTGGAAATGTTGGATAAAGAAAATAGCCACTCTGTAAAAATTTTTAATCCTGGTCAGAAAGGTAGGCTGCTACCTTCCTATCCCTTTAGAAAACTGGTTGCTTAATGAAAGAAATCTTAATACCATAACAACAACTCAACCTGATTTGAAAGAAACTTCTAATATTGCCCTTCGGCTTAATGCTCTTCCCTTTGCTTAGCCGAGAACATGTTCTTAGCTTGTCCTGAAGCAGTTTGGCACATTCACAAGTTATCAGGACCGATCCCTAGAGTGGACTGAATGCCCTCTAGGTTTGTGAGTGGTTGTGGTGCGAGCGTAGAAGACAACACTGAACACTCGTAACCAGACAGGTACAGTTGCAGCGAGGACGCTGGGCTGATCTTCAGACCCAGTCAGATGGCTTGTCAAGATTTTTAGGTTCCTCTCCCCAGTTGGTAAACTGAATTCCTTGGATTATCAGTGGGGTTTATTGTTTTAAAAGTTGTTGGGGATCCACAGGAACAGCATTCACACAGGGACATCTGTGAAAGCAAAGCAAGAATGAAACCTTTACAGACTTTAAATGGGTTGGATTTCAGTTCACTGTTTTGGCTGTTTGTGGTTTTAAGAGGTAAGCAGTTGTTATCCTGTGACTGTAGTAGATCTCTTTGGTGGACACATAGACAGTGCGCATAGTATATATATGCAAAGCAGATGGGCAAAAAGATTCCCACGATAATATTGTGAAAAGCTTTCAAAAATTGTTTTCCAAGACAATCATTTTTTTTCTATTTTAATTTTCATGTGGCAAACTGTACCAGAGAAGCAGCATGTCAAAATGCTTTATGTTCCAACTTAGAAAAAAGAAAAAAATGCTTTATGTTCCATGTAGAACTTTTTTTTCCTTTTTTTGTTAAAAGGATTTGTTTTCTATTTTACTTTTTACTGACAATGTGAAACTCGCAAAAAAATGTTCTTTTAAAATATACAGCTATAAACTGTTCAAGGCAACCATAACAAACTAGGTGTTATTTATTAACATATTATAAAATAATGTTTGATCCAGTATGTGCTTGTCTTATTTAAAATTGGAATGTGAGACATGTTGCTGTGACTTGGTTTTATTCTCATTCACATTTGTAGATATTGTGTGAGCTACAGTATATAATGGTAATAATTAAAAGGATATGTGAATGCCACCTACATTTTGAAATGATAGAACTATATTAGCTTTGTATCATGTTTGGGTAATTCATCACTGTTCACAGTTTAAAACATCATTAAACATTATGTAATTAGCAATGAGAAAGAATCTTACCTAACTTAATTTTGGGTTCCCCCATCTCTTTTCCAAATATGTTATAACTCTGGAGCCCTATTTATCTTAAAACCCTTAACATATGCAGACCAACAGATTTTTGCATTCCTTTTAAATATCTGGTTGTGACAGAGCTTCTTGTTGGTCAAATTCGCCGTTTCATTCATTCATATTTATTGTAATATATTTTTGTTTTGTAAATATGTTACACACAACAAAATGTGATTGGTTTAAAATATTTGTAATGTATATTAAAAGGCTCAAAAATATATTTGTAGAAATCTGTTATTTTGCACTCATAGGAAAATAATGACAGGCTTGAATTATACCTTCTGACATGATTTGCATTTTTAAAAAGTTACGGGCAAAGAATATGGAAAGCATAGAACACATTTGTACCAAAATGTAATCTGACAGGATTTCTGCATTTATACTCTAACCACCCCAACTGCCACCCTTGCCCCATGGCACACTCAGTTTGATCATGCTACGTGAATACTATGTTTCAAAAAGAATCAGCATAGAAATCCTGGTCTTCTAGCTAGAATATTAATGGGTTTCAAAGCTTCATTTGCATGCTAAAGCAGAGGGATTGATTCTGGGAGTTTTAATAAGTGTACCTTCCATCTATGAGGAGACATGGGAGGAACGAGGAAAATAAACAAACAGGTAATTAAACATGTGTTGCGACTATAGTATGCTCAGTATACAGTTTTGAAAAAGTAAACCGAGCAGGAACCTGAAAGGTGGTGGGGGTGAGAATCTGTACTTCTCAGGTAGCCAGGGAAACCCTGGGTTCCCATGAAACCCTTTATCTTTAAGTTTTGTTGAAAATTAAGCAAACGCAATCAAAGAGGGGCAGGGCCCTACAAAATGGCCCTCTGGGGAGGGCTCAGGTCCTAGAGCAGTGATGGTGAACCTTCTGAGCTCGGCGTGTCAGCATTTTGAAAAACCCTAACGTAACTCTGGTGCCGCCGTGTCACATATAGAAATTTTTTGATATTTGCAACCATAGTAAAACAAAGATTTATATTTTTGATATTTATTTTATATATTTAAATGCCATTTAACAAAGAAAAATCAACCCAAAAAATGAGTTTGCGTGTCACCTCTGACACGCATGTCATAGGTTCGCCATCACTGTTAGGAGATAGATCACGGTGCACGGTGGGGGTTACCGGGAGCTAGTGGCTTTGCAGGGATGGCCCAGGATGTGGATCAGGAGGCAGGCGCCGAGCTCCGTGAGATGGGGGAGGAGCTAGGCGAGGTGGGGGCGGAGTTACGGGCGTAACGGGGCGGGGCTCTACGTGGCGGGGCGGGCTCGGCCCGCGGTACCGCCCCTGGCCGGGCGTGGGCGGGGCTGTGGCTGGAAACCGGAAGCAGCCGCGGCCCCAGCTCGGGAGACATGGCGGGCATTAAAGGTACATCCGCGGCCGTGGCCGCGGCCCGCCGGTCCTGTGTAAACTTGAAGCTGTGCTTTCAGCGCGTGGGCGGGGAGCGGCCTCCCCCAGACCCGCCGCGCACCCCGCCTCTGCGGGTGGGGAATGCCCGCGCCCACCCCCCT